GAAGGTAGAATAATTTTGAAATAAAAATTCTTTAGTCGCGTGAAAGCACGCATGATAGGGCAACGTTAATGGCAATTTAAAATATTGATTGAATTTTTAATAAATTAAAATCCGTTTTATTTTTAAAATATTTATTTTTGATAGCCATAAGGGGAAAGCGTTGGAGATTATGATGGTGCTTTGCTTAACAGATTCTGATTTCCTACTGACTATTGAAAATAATTGTTTAATTTTAAATATTTTATTAGAAAATTAAAATAATATACTAGGTAAATACACTTTACTGCCCAGACAATTAAGAAATATGTACTTTTTAAATAAGAGGAAAGACTACATAAATGTGGGTATGGAAGAGCAAACAAAGTCTCCTAATTACCGTATATACTGTATTTATTACCCTCCCTCGAATAGTTACCCCACCTGCTTTTATTACCCCCCCCTTTAGCAAGAGATCGAAACAATAATTGCCCTCCCTCAAATAATTACCCTCTATTTTTTCTAAGCTAATGTTGAAAATATTTATTAAAAAACATTATGATTTTAACAATGGGCATTTTAAGGATCATATAAAAAATAAATCAAGAAAATAAAAGAATTTGGAGAGGATAACCCGGATACTTTTAATTTTTAAGCATTTAAGGATCAATATTCTGTCTTTAGTCATATTATAAGAAGTATATTTACAGAATGTAGGAAATATTCCCTAAATAGGAATCATACATACTTTTATACACATGACCATCGTGTCTTTATATCTCCCAGGGAGGAAGCATTGGTGTTATTGTACCGTATTGGGGTATATTATATATGAAAGTATTAAGGGAATAAAAAATATCTGTAAAAATTTACTAATATTTATCTCTGCATTCGGTAACATATTGTATATTACAGTTCATATCTTTACGATAAAATAAAAAATTTACAGGTCGAAATAATAATTGCCCTCCCTCAAATAATTACCCCACCTGCTTTTATTACCCCCTCCAGCGAGAGATCGAAACAATAATTACCCAGGGTAATTAATACAGTATATACGGTATCTTTTATCAAATTAAAATTTTTAATTAGTGAATGTAAAATCCCGATTGTGACAGGAGGGTTGACAAGAGTGATAGTGATGGAGGGTGGTATTAATTATGCGTGTGATTGACGTGCGATTTATGGATTTTCTTTGTATGCCTAATATGAATTGATAGAGAAAACGATTTAATGAATCATATGAAATGACAATACTTGCCTTATGATAACAATCATATGTTTGATCGCTAAAAGCCGTTCATAAACATAAAGAATGTTGTGTGTTTTAGCGTAACTAAAGGGGAATGTAAAAAGTATAAATTGATCTAGACTAGTGTTGGGCAAACGCGATTTTACGGTATCGGTATCGGTATTTTGGTAAAAATACCGCTGTATTACCGAAAAATACCGCGGTACTACGGCACCGTGCCCAACTCTAATCTAGACATAAAATGAATATTTAAAAATTAAAAGTTTGATAATTTAGACAGAAGTCAAGTAAATTCCTGCTTTAAGATACAATTTGGTTCCAGGATTAATAAGTAGTAACTGAAATCCACTTAAAGCTTAATTAATTATGATTATAAAATAGAAATATAAAATTTAATAACCAAAACTATTTAAAATATTGTTTACTTCTAAATATTTTTTATTAGAAAATTAAAATAGTATTCAAAAACTTTTTAATACCCAGACAATTAAAAAATACTTATGAAATAAGCGGAAATATTACATAAATGTGAGTATGGAAGGGCAATCAAAGTCCCCAATTAAAATTTTTCATTAAGTGAATGTAAAATCCCGATTATGACAGGAGGGTTGACAAGGGTGATAGTGATGGAGGGTGGTATTAATCATGCGTGCGATTGACGTGCGATTTATGGACTTGCCTTATGAAAAAAATCATAAGTTAGATACACTTAAATCCATTCCTAAACATAAAAAATGTTGTTTGTTTTAGCCTGTCTAAAAGGGAATGTAAAAACATGACGTAATAAATAAAAATCAAACATGACGTAATAAATAAAAATCAAACATGACGTAATATGAATTGAATTGAACTTGTATCTAGACGTAAATTAATATTTAGAAATTAAAAGTTTGATCAAATTTAGAGAGAAGTCTGGGTATTAAGAGATATCGGCTGAATAACGGGATATTGGCTGAATAATAATTAAACAAGTAATTAAACAAGTAAATTGCCATAAAAAGGAAGAAATCTGACTCATTGGCCTTCCAAAAATCAAGAAATTTTTTCCTGCAGCGCCAGAAAAGGAGGAAAATGTTTACAACTTAAATGAAATGATGAGTAATGCCGCGATGTCGAGAGACCAAGAGTGGTTCAAGAGACCCACTTCTAGCTACGAAAATGTTTTGGGAGCGAGGTACAGGCTTTTAAATATCCTAAAATATAAGATATAAAATGAAGGTAATATCCACTCAACTAACTTAATATTTCAGATGTCTTTTTAAATCCTAATAGGTATTGTAAGACCAAATGAGGCTTTGATTTGCAACAAATCTTTGACTTGAGTGATCTTTAGAGTTCTCTCATTATATTGAAAATATTTAAAAAATCTCCGTGTCTGAGAAGTTTTTGTCTCGAATCTAACTCTTGGGAGGCTTATTTATTATTTTAATAATGTTAAAACCGTTTTTAAAATAAAAATTAATTTATTTCTAACAATTTAAATAAAAATTTTACATTAAATACCGATCTCGATATTTCAATCCCGATCTCGATTCTGAATCGGTATCGGGATCAGGCTTATGATTCCAAAATCCCTATCAATTTTATGGCGAGATCCCGATAACGCCCAACTCTAATTAGAACTTATCTAATACAGACCCAACCAGAGAGGTCCATCAAAAAATAAAAACCTAGTCTCAAATAGAAGCCCAATTGAAATATGTATAGTCCACTTAAAGTGATCCATTGAAAAATAGACGCCCAGGGCTTTAATTAGAGCATTTATGTAATTTTGTATTCCGCTCGCAACACTATTACCACCCTTTGCAAAACAATAAAAATAAATTGTATAAAATAATATACATATTATAATAATAATTCGATTTCGTTTATTTATTTAATAAACACATAATTTAATAAACATCAAATTTAAATTTTTGTTCGTTGGTCGTCTATTGTTTCAAATAAAATTATTTGAGTTTAATTTTAAAAATTTTGTAGTTTATAATTTTAAATACAAATTAAAAAGCTTAAATTTCAAAAATAGACTGCAAAAATTTTTTTTTCGATAAACATACGTTTTCGTACGGGTGCTTAACGAAATTAATTTAATTTACGTACAATAGTCTCATTTTTGTGTATTGTTTTTTGTAAAACAAAAAAATATATACATATTTGTTTAGCTTTTTTCTGATTTTTTTATTTAAGATATTTTTAATCTCAAATTAATTTTCTCATTTTGGTCTATTAAAGTTGTATTCAAAAATTATTCTAATAAACCATCCTATTATATTATTTATTTAAAAAATGAATCAAGAAAATAATTCGCAAAAGAAAATTCTTTTTTGCGTAATTTGTGGAAATCAAAGTGAAAGCAGAAATTACTGTGTTATTAGTTGTGCAAGTAATTATTATTTTGAATTTTATTTTTATTAAAGAATTTTATAAGGATATCGGGTTACCAGACATGAACAATAAATATGAATATTATCAGATAACTAGGATATTATGATGAAAAGTATTCCGATTTTTAATCGGGATACGGTAGCTCCTGATTCTGTATTTTATTCATCTCTAAATAAACACTATATATAATTAATAGGACTCGCCTTTTCAAATAAGGGTAGCGAGTTAGCTCAGAATGTTTTGACCAGTAGGGATTAAATTTGATCGTTTTGAAAATATAGTAAGTATCAGTTGATATATTGGATGTGGAACTGGTTCCGGTTCTAGGATTTTCCCTTTTCTCTTAATCAGCGACATCCATCGATAGACACTCAAATCCATCAAAATCATACTAAATTTTTCTAATATTCCCGATATCTCTCCAAATCTGACAATATCCCTCCAAATTCTCTTCTCTCCCTGCAAATGGATTTAGGCAGATTTGTCACAAAATAAATTAAAACGAGTCAAAAATTAGAAAAAGTTTAGAGATTCAAAATATTTTTCCATTGTCTCCCACTAATTTAACTATTTATGTCTAGGATCAAAAATAAAATTAAAAAACAAGAAAGGATCCATCTAATTCACGAATCCATCTAAATCTATTGATATCGCTCCAAATCCATCAATATACCCTTCATCCCTTTAACTCCTTACTGATCCTACTATAAATGATCCAACTAATCATATCGATATCTTTTCCCAAATCCTTCTATCTCTCAATATTCCCTCTTAATCACTTCATTTTGACTCAATTATATCCGCTTTTAACGCGCCCCAAATATGGCCTCTGTACAAACCGGATTTGAATCATTGGATTAATATTTTTGGTCTATTTTATAGGCAACGGTCTATGAATAATAATCCAAAAGTTTGGAGTCTCTTAGGCAATTAGTCGCTAGGGAATGTGAGAAAATCTAACGCAATGTTATGCGAACTTTTGATCAAAATTTTTCTTAATCTTTTGACTTTATATCCTAGAAAAGTGTGGTACTTTAAAAATACTTCATTATTTTTATCCCTTATTTAATTCCCTATCATAAAGTTTTCATTTGATACCAATATCCTTACTTTGAATAAAGTTTCTGGTCACCCTGTATATTTGCTCTCACTAAAATAATTTAAAAAATTTACTGTTACTACTTAAAAGAAATTTATTTAAATTTTAATAATTCTTTTTCTAAGGCTGCAAACAATTTTTTCGCCGTACTGTTGTACAACAGAAGGTTACCACTTGTCGGCGACATAAAACATGTGATTTAAAAACTGGTTAATGATTTTATTTAATAATAACTTGAAATTAGAAAATTTTCCAAATCTTATTGTTCTTGGAGCAGGCCAATACCGCATGCCCAATGTTATTGTTAGTAACATTACTTTTCATTTATTAGGCGAAAAATGTAGAGGTTGCCGTCTTGATAAATGTTTAATTGAAGGAATGGATCCTTTAATGGTTAAAACTAATGATATGAAATGCCGAGATGAATTTATTGAAATGTTAGAAAAACGCCGAAATAAATTACACAAAAATCTCGACAAGGTAAAAGACGATCCTCACGAAGAAGAAGAAGAGTATTTAGATGATGGAAATGAAAATCTAAATTATAATGAGGAAGATGATAAAATTATTTGTGTTAAAAATAAATATAAAAAATTAAAAAACAAACAAAATTACACAGAAAAACACGGCCAACAAAATTATATCTTGGCACCTTTAGATGCAGAAAATAGTCAAGTGAATATAATTAATTCTTCATATCTTAATTTTAATTGTAGATGGAACATTTAATTCGAATTCGTGAAGCACAAAGCCGAATTAGAAATGCATTTATGGAATTTGATGATCAACAATTTTTATCTTTAAATTTAAATTCTTTGCAAGATATCTTAACTGATGTGTCAAATATCATTTTAGAAGCATCTGAATTTTCGGTGAAAATAATAAAAATAAATACAGTCAAATACATAACTAAAATTGATAATGGATACCCGATTATAGGTGATAATGGACTGATACCATCAAGTTTTGCTCATTATTTTTCAGTTCCGTAGGTCCGATTGAAATAATAATTTTTGTTCACACTTTTGAAGTGATTGAGTTATATAAGAGGGTACACCTCGTTTCAGTCTAGGCTCAGTTCAGTCTGGCGCCCTATAACTTTTGAAGGGGCTGATAATTTTAATTTTCTTAGTACTATTTGATAGAGCATTAAATAAGCTACAATATACCAGAAAATCAGAATTCTCGACCTTCATATTATATATCTTTGTGATTAAAGATTGTAGACAAAAACTCAGGAATCCATAAATTTAACATTATATATTTATAGGAGAGGCCACAGCTTCTTAGTTTTCCAGAATTTTACGAAACAAATACACTATTTGACCAGTTTATTAATCGACTAACAAAATGTATTCTTGTCGAGAAACTTATTTGTATTGGAATTTTTAAATCTTTACCTGTTTATCCTAAACTTGCTGTTGAAGATCAAGTTTGTTTATACAATAATGATAATTTTCGTCATTTGATTTTCCACAAAAATTAAATGACGAAATTATCTAAAAGGGATGGGCTTTGCAGCATTTTAAAAAGCGGGAGACGGAAGGAAAAAACAGTCAAAATAAAAAGCGGAACTCGGAAAGTTATAAAAACAGAATTCTCCGAAAGGCGGAAAATAGAGACGTCCGAGACCGAAAATTTTTCAAGACTTAAGACCAAAAACCAAGATTAGACTCCAAGACCAAGACTTGACCCCAAGACTCAAGACCGGAAATTACCAAGACTCAGGACAATTTTTTGTTCCCGTATGTAAATTTTTGGTTTATTTTTCGTGCATTATACACGAGCACCTATAATTTTGAAGAATATGAAGAATTCAGCCCCGAAGGCGCCAAAAATTTTGATTTTCAGCGCCGCAAACGAAAATTTTGAGATTCTGGAAGATTATTAGGCTAAAAACTTACAGTAAAAATTTTTATTCATTAATAAAATCAAAATTTTCATGTTATAATGCCGAATATTGTGATATCAGTGTTTACGCAAAATTTTGAGATTATTTTTGGGAATATAGTGGATTAGTAGGGGCCATGAGGAGGAGTTAGAGGTCCTTGAATCCCTCCAAATCCAACGCAAGCGAAAATTTTAAGAATTTTGGAAGTCTGAAGTCAAAATCACATTTTTGATAAGTCCTTCACATATTCCTCAAATATTTTTTCAATTAACTAAATAAATTAGTAAATTAGTCCTGATTCGATAGAACCTGCTCCGAAAATTTTGCCATGTGAGAGCCTCGAACAAATTTTCATTAGGCGGTGTAAACGGTGGAAGAGGGCAAAAAAGTGGAAGCCAGCCTATATCTGCTATACATCTTAAAAATAATCTAATAATTAAGTTAATAATTATCAAATATGTGGCAAATGCTGTATTGATGATTGGAAATTGCTTTGACTCCTTTGAATTGGGTTCTGATACATGGGTAAGGAAAGATGGTTCTTGTCCAATGGCTGCTTTTTCTATCAATTTAGTTTCAAATATGATAGAAAGTAAAATATTTAATTTTGTAATAATTTATTAAAATCTACTTAACAAATCACACTCACAAACAAGATAATTTCAAATTTAATTATTTATACATGACGTAAAAAATTCATGGAAAATCCCAAGATAACCGGTTCGAATTTCCTTAATCGTAACGGATAATCGAGATGAGTATTCCGATAATCCGGATGCTGTATCGAACACTTTCGGATTGTTCGGGATCCGGATACCGTCACCTTAGCTGAGTAATCCGAAGATTAAAGCATTTCTTAAAATCTTACAATGCAGATCCAAAGCCCTCGATATACAAAATATCCCTTCCATAATTCGAAAACCAACTTCTAAGTAATTTAATTTAATAAATTTAAGGCTGTATTCTTTGGCAATGAGAGTATTCAATAAGCCTATTGAACCTTTTTTCCGTATTGAAATTTGTAAAGAAGAATTTAGTTTAATTTTGGCAATTATGTATTTAAATTCAGGTATTTTATTTTCAAAGAAAAAAAATAATTTTAAAATTAATTTAAAGATATCCCAGGTTTATCAGAATCAGCAAGGGATATTCTTTCAATTGAGTTATCCAAATATACAAGAATGTTACATAATTATTTACTAAATAAATTAGGTCAAGATGCTGGAATTAAAAAATATGCTGAATGTCTTCATTTAATTGCAAATTCTTATTTTGGAGCAAATAATTTTAATTTATTAGTAACATATTTAGAAGCATTTTATAATCTACCAATATTACGTGATCTGGTGCCAAAATGTTTTAAAGATATTGTATAATTCTCAATTTTATTTATTTTTCTTAAAGTTGTTACCTAATTTATATTAAATTGTCTTAAAGTTTTTTTAATGTTTTATCAATTTTTTACATATATGTATTGGTTAACAGACATGAGACTTATGTATATAACAGGGATAGTCCGAATTACACCTAACCTTAAATCTGATCTTTTTTCCGACCCAAAACAATTTTCAAAAACCCTTCCCGTGATGTCCAAATAATCTGGCTTATTAAATTTGGCTACTTAATCTTCCGTGATAAAAAAATTATATGGAATGTTGAGGGATTTGGATGTTATATCGAGTGACAAAGAGGTGTATAGAGAAAAATGGCGTTATTAATTAATTTACAGGAATTAAGAAGGATCTGAAGGGATATCTGGAACATCAATTGATTTAGAAGGGTCTCGATAAAAGACATTGAGAGGATATTCTTTGTAGGACATGAAAGGAGGTAATTAATTTTAGCTCGTCAAGTGACAAATTTTAATTTAGAAAAGTATGTATGTATTGCAGAGACAAATTTCATAAACTTTTTTTATCTTTTATAAAAACCCTTGATCGAATAATGAGGCAATTTCAGCCTCTGCCCTATTTTTAACCTGAACATTTAACAAGAAATTTTCGTAATAAAAAATTATTAATAGATAAACTACAAGATATTACATATACATGGGTAAATATTATTAAAATAAATCTTTATCTACGGCCATTCACAATTCCAACTGGACATAATCCACAAGTAAAAGCACATTGTTTCATCTTCATACCCTTCGAATAGGCTTTATTTGTGCAAAAACCTTTAGATTGCCAAAAAAGACAACTAAAACATAATTTTTTTATAAATTAATTTTTATATCTTACTCAATTCTTTTAATAATATCAACACAAATTTCTCCAATCTTAAAACAAACCGCACAAGTTTTTGCGCATCTGTGATGCATTACTTGAACATAAGCCTCAAATATTAATTTTAATTTATTAATTCCTAAAAAAATATTTTTTACTGGAATTAGGCAAAGTTCTAAATTATCATAACAATTAAATGCACTATCAACACAATCAAGACCTTTCAAAATAAATTTTTATTTAATTAAAAATATTAATATTTTTACGTAATTCTGGTGGTTTATTGTTAAATTCTGAATCAAGCTCTTTTTGAATAAGAGGATCTCCTCGTCTTGAAGGTTGAGACTGGATTTGATTTAACAATGTTTTATAGGCCGTCTCAATTGCTTAAAATTTATTCAATTATTATAATATTCATAAACTCCGTTTCAAAAAACCTCGACACTCTCAAATTTTTCGGATAACAAGCGAGAGGTTAACCCGAAAATTCAATGGATTATAGATTTGTTTTGTAAAATAAATTGGAAGTCTATTCGGTACCGCTCATTTAAATTTTTTAGAATTTCAAGTTCCAATATTGTACTAGTTCTATTTCCGATTCTTCGGATTCTTAGAATCTCCGGCAAGTTTAAGGAACGTCTGCTTTTGACAAATCTTACATAGAAACAAATCTAGCCCATAGCTTTGGACTAACACCTACCTATTTTTAGAAAAAGGCTTTTATAGGGTTATTAATTTTAACAAATACATTGTAGTATTTTCTTGAATTAAAAAATTTTCTTTTTACCTCGAAGTGCATTTTCTGCTCTAGCTTTAAATTTTGAAAGAGAAGGATCCACAAAAAGCTCAGGACGTATTTTTGAATTAATTAGTTTCTTTTTATTTTCCAAATCATTTAAATTAATTGGTTGGCTAAGTTCAAATATGTCTAGAGGATTTCCTTTTGCATTTTCAATTCTGACAATAATGGACCAGGCTTCTCTTTGCTCCGGACTTTCCAAAATATCATTTTGAATTATCTCGTCTTTATTTTCTTTTAATTCTTAAAATAAGTTTTTTTAATTTTATTTTACTAAAACTAAATCTCTTAAATAATTTCTTAGTTATTTTTGAATATCCTATTTTTGATTATTTATTATTAGGGCAAGGATTTTTAGGCAAATGCTTGTTTTTTTCCTAGATAATAGTGAGTCATTTTAATATTCTGTAAAAAAATTTTGCCAGGAAGTTGAGATAGAACTATGAAAAACTGAACCCTTCGGTATTAAAGTTTTTAAAGTATTGTTCCAAGATTAACGAAAATAGGTATTTACATATTAATAACTTTTTGGGACTAGATCGAACTTAAATCTGCCAATTTTAAATAGAATTATAGGTTATAGGTTAATTAGTTTATAGAAATTATAGGTTAATTATAGGTTATTTTTTGTTAGAAAATACTTAAAAAGTGTGCTAGTACATATATTAATATGTAGTAATTAGTGGAAAGGACAAATAAATAATAAAATAAATACTAATTATTACTTTCAATTGCATCAAGAGCACGTTCTTTCAATCCCTTAAGTGCTTGCACATCATTATCACTAATTAACAATTTTATAGCCTTTTCCTTATCTAAGCATCGTTTTTCTAATTCGTCAAAATCATTAATATCAATTGTTTTTGTTGGATCAAACCCAAAAACTTCAACTGGGGACTTTGCATTTTCTATATCTTTAATTGCTAATTGAAGATCAATTGCTTTTTGAGGAGATAATTTTCTTGAATTTCGTTTAGTTAAGTCATCGTAAGCTTCATTCATACCTTTAAATTAAAACTTATAATTATGTTAATGAAGGAAATGGGTATTGGATAAAATCAGATTATTCGTTATTTT